CCAAGCACTTTCAGAATCTGTATTGGATTGTTAAAACAAACTCTTTGATGTGTGGGTAGTACTTGTATGTGGCTGTAGAGGTGTTTCAAACCGGATGTTGTACAGATGAGATCGTTGGATGCAGGGTAAATGAAGTAGCTCGCTTTGAAAAAATTTTTTCTAAGTTTATAACACAACGTTGTTATTTAAGGATTGTAAATTTTTCTTTATTAATGATTATGCATCCAAGTGAAAAAAATCTGTTGAATTTACCTTACGGTTTACATAATTTTTAAAGGTAAACACATTTCCGGTACAAATGTGCATAATTTGAATTTTGACTTATGACTAATTAAGCTGCCATCGTCTAAATATTTTTTTTCATATGTTACTAAATGGTCCAAGAATCCTTGAGTGTAAATGTCGAAGTTTCCTTCACATTTCAAAAAAAAAAGAAGTCCTAGTAGTACGCATAATGGTCTCCGGAATTGTTGAGATTTATAAAAAGGAAACAAAAAAACCCGTTGAAATTTGTATTTATTTTTGTACGCATAATAAAGCAGTTCCGTTTGTCTGCCAGTTTGGGTTTCTAATGGAGTAGAAAAAGAAATGTACACTCGCAGCAAAAACCATGGAAACCATAAACGTAATTTTCGGTTCGTACGAAAATTTCTTTTCAAGTGGAATTTAGTTTGGATTAGGTTAGGTTAAAGGATTAATCGCATTCGTGTTTTAAACTAGCGGTAGAAGCGGTTTCCGGTGATTGAATTTAATATGTTAAAATCAATAACTATTCTATTGAAAATTTTCTAGACCATGGAAAATCCTAATTGAAACCACTATGTACGGGAAAGAAAAAACAAGTTAGAAGATACTTCACATTTTATTATAGTACTAGCGACCCGCCCCAGCTTCGCACGGGTGCACTGCTGATAGTAAATATATTTTTGTTTTGTTTAGATTATTATCGAGGAGGGGAAATCTTAAAAAGATACCCCCTGAACATACTAAATATACTACAGAATGTCTTTATATACAACATTCACAGTTTTTTTGTCATTAGACAATACAAACCGGCCTCCCGGCCGGTACCGCCGCAACCGCTATGTCCCTGCATTTTAAATCTGTAATATCTTCGAAAATATTCATTTAAATTACATGCTGTAAAGGGCCATATTGATCTATATTAAATGCACAATGTATTTAAGGTACTTAATTGGATAAGAATTAATGCTGTATTGCCTACAATCGCTTCGTAAATAAGTCATTATTTCTCATAAAAAGTAAAGGATAAAAATGGTTATTGTGGGTTATCCCTAAGAGATAGACATATACCATCCCGGACTTTTTTGTAGACCCTTTTAAGATGTACAATATTGTAGTACATTATTTTGATCTATCTCGTAGGGTTCAGCCAGCGTTTGCAATGTAAGCGCAAAAAATGTGTTTATTTACGACATCACATTAGAAACCTCTAAAATTATCAGTGTTTCCCTACTATATTATGCATGTATTATACATATAAACCTTCCTCTTGAATCACTCTATCTATTAAAAAAAACCGCATCAAAATCCGTTGCGTAGTTTTAATGATTTAAGCATACATAGGGACAGACAGCGGGAAAGCTACTTTGTTTTATACTATGTAGTGATATAGTAGTATAGAAAATAGAAAGTGAGAGTGCCCATTGTTTTTCATTTAATAATAAATTTGAAAAATTTGGATAAAAATTAAGAATGAATTTTCACATTATTAACCACTAGGAAATTTATAGTGTTTCTCTGTAAATTTATCTAATTTACATTGCTTCGTCTCCACAAGCATTTTAAAATTTTTCGGATTCGATATATTCGTAAAGCTTCCTTCACGCTTCTTTGAACGCCAATTTATCAATAACAGTTCCAAGTACGAATTGAAAAGTGGGATATTAGTTTCAGTGGAAATGCTTAAATTAAATTATGCGAAAGTATTTCCTTTTTTCTTTGATGTGATCAATCTCTCTTGAGTATGCGTGAGTGTACTTCGGATGAAAGAGGAATTGGGTGTAATTCAGTTTAAGGAAGCGTTGTAAAAATTTATTTTAAATACAAACTTTGGATGGCAAAAAGGGCAAAATAAGAAATAACGTGTGTTACTGTATATAAGCATTAATTTGATCTTTCGCTTCCGTTTTTCGTATCAACTAATACCTGATACGTGTTTTTGAAAAGGCTTCTTTTCAGACAAGTACAAAGTGCATTGATCAATTAATTAATTAATTACATTGTCTTGAGATTCGTTTTTCACCGCAAAACACAAAGAGAATGTTTTCTCTCCTACCAGTTCCACACCGAAAAGGAAAACCCATTCATGTAGTCTACGTAACGTAATGTGTTTCTTTCTTAAATTTGAAGTGACATATCTCTCGTCTCGGTAATAATTTTCATTTCGCTTACTTGACATTTTCCATTCTTTTTTAATGTTTTTGTTGTTCGGAGTTTGTTTTCCCAGCGTTTTCTTCATTTCTAAGGGCGACCTCACGAATTTGTAAACAACTGGGTAGTGGTCTCGCGATGCCGTTGTGCTGATTTATTTTACAAAACGAAATACCTTACGAACGAGGCAAAGAACAAAAGTCCCCGGCGTTAAACAAGGGTGTTTTTATAACAGAGTTGAAGAAACACGGCGAGTACGAAAGGAAAATGTTGTGAATACAAGTTGACAGCGTTATTATTCCCGATAGTATAAACCGGTGACGAATCGTACTTTCACAAATAGGCGTAGAGTTGCAAGAAACCGCGAAAGATTACGCTTAGAATTGAGTACATATTCTCAAGAATATCCCTCAGAGTATGTGTCAGGGAATATGTCGAACAATTGGAACAATATACCTACTGATCATCATTATTATCATCAACATCGTTCATGTTTCGCACCCGTACAGCGCCGCGCTCTAAACATATACCTTTCACAATCTTTTTCGAATTTCTAAATTAATCGTTCGCGAGCATAGTAGTGACTTCTTTTTATTGATGACGACTCGACCCTGCACTATCCTCTGCTTATTATCCCTACTGCTCCTTTCGTTCTGACACCTAAAATCAGTCACTTCTTGAATCTTTCGTCTCCTGTCTTTATATTCGCTCTCTCCCTAATTTTTCTTCCCTTCCATACCAGTATTTTTGTTTTGCTTTTATTTATTTTCATATACAATACTGTTTTGTCAATACCGCTTCCGTTTTATTTAAAGCAATCTCTAACTCCTCTTTCTAGATGCTAATTTTTGCACCTGTATATCCATCCCTACAGTTGTATAGTACAACTTGTAGTGTCTTTAATGATGTTGATCGCTCTTCCTAATATTTACTTCTCTACTTTGCTGCTCCAGCTCTATAACTGCCTATTGCTCTTTATACAAACTAAGTATCACTCTTCTGTCTCTGTAATTCATCCCTACATTTTTAAGTATATTTAACATCTTGTCCATTTAACATTGTCAAAAGTATTTTCTAAATCTACAAATCCTATGTACGCGTTCTTTTTCTGTCGTATTCTCTATTGTTATCTGTAATGCCAGAATGGCCTCCCGCTTGGATCTCTTCCCTATTCGGGGACAAATTTACGGCTTACGCCACCATTGTCCGTAGGCATTTATTAGGTATTTAATTAAGGTCATTAGAAAATTTTTTAAACAGGAATCATTTTAAACGCCAAGTACCTACATTAATTTTATATGCAGTTGTTTTTTCGGATTTGAAAAATTCCGGACGTCGAAATTTTTCAGTCGACTGCTTAAATATGAAAATGTTAATGTGAATAAAATGATAAAAGGATGCCAACCGTCTTATTCTAAGTTCAGATGCCTATTTTGAAAGTCAATGATAATTGATTTTGTGAATTCTCCGCTGAAAGAGATACGCTTGAAGAAATACAAAAGTGTTTGACCGACGAGTTACATAGTTAGGAACCTAAAATTGATTTTATTTAAACTAAAATCGTAAAATCCATTACTTATTGTAAACGGTTAAATGGTACAAATATGTGTGTTTTCTTGGTGATTTAAATTGTCACCAACTAAGACAGTAACTTGAAATATAGTTTAAATCAATAAATGATTTTATAGTTATAGGGCTTCCAGTCGTGCACACAGCTTTTAGACAGTTATTTTACCTTCTTGATCTAAAGGTTTTTCTAATAATCGATTTGATACTGCTCCAGATTTTCCACTTTTCGAGGTGTTCCAATGTTCGTTATTTCTAATGGTATTGAGGGAATAAAAAGCAAACGTACTACTACGAAAAAGTAACAATGATTGCTATTTTTTTATTTGTTTAATTGATTTAGTTAGGTAACGTATTTAGAAGGTTTTACTGATAGAACTTAAACAAAAAATAATTCCAAATACGTATGTAGGCGTGTACGTATGAACTTTTGTAAAGGAATATTCACAACAACACAATATGTGTGCGTTCTTTTTCGTAATTTATTTTCTTTCATGATTGTACAGTAAGTTGGGGTATATATGGTTAACAAGATGGGTCTTTGAAATGATGCAGAGAATTTCGCTGTTGGTCGATTTTCTTTCGCAGTTTTGAGTACCTAGATCGTGCAAAGCCAGAGGTGAAAATAGAACATGAAAGAAAATACGCAAAGTAAATATAAAGGAATAATTTATTTAGAACTGGCTTTGGTTTCTGAGAAGTTTGTGGATTATTATATATATGTTCACAAATCTGTCACTTCCTTTTGTTATCGGGTTCTCCTGTTTTCGAAGAATGGCTTTTCTATTTTCATTTTTTATCATCTTAATCAAATAATTCACGTTTTTACGAAATTGTGTTTTATTGTTTGGAATAATATCAAAAGGAACAACTCTGAGGTAATTTAGGTATAAGGAATAGATGAAAATTCACAAGAAAATAGAATTAGTGTCGCTGATGCAATCAGATTTTTACGTAATAAACAATTTCATTATATTATATATATATTATAGTGGTTTCCTCCACTACCGCCTTAAAAGAAAACGAAACAAAAAACTCACCTCCAAAACATACGTAAGGATCCTGAGCACATAGCTGGGCAAGTTGAAGCACAAGCAAATCGTTGAGACAAAAAGCAGCATCTTGGTGACCTTGTTCTGGGTCGATTGGCTGGATGTAAGCCTGTTGTTTCTCACAAATGTCCCGGGACGCCGTCCGCGTGCTCTACCGTTTCCGGCCACGCCACCCGATTGCACTGTGACCCCGTGGGTGGTCATGGTCCTTCGTACCCGCGCTAATTGCCAGATCGTCCTGCTGATGCAACCGTTCAGCACGACGATCGTGGTCACCGGCAGTACAAAGGTCAACACGGTGTCGACGTAATTGTACACGCCTGCTGCGAATTGCCACTTGTTATCAATCATGCAGATGACTCTGCCCGTTTCGGGCACCAGGACCGGCTTCGCGAACACCAGGTAAGGAGAATAAATCATCATCGATGCAACTACCATGATTCCGATCATCAATTTTGCTCGGGACGTGGTGCACACCGATTGACGAAGAAGAGGGTAGCGGACGGCGACGAAACGTTCCACGGTGAACGCGGCCACCAGCCAAATACTGAGAAAACTGGTAAATGTGGTCAGATATACGATGGTCTGACAGATGATGTCCTTGTTGAAGATATCCACACGCACAAAGGACAACCAGACTACCAGAAGGGACAACAGGAATGCAGAATCGCTTATGGCCAAGGCGGATAGGTAATAGGACGAGGACAGTTTTTTTAATTTGGTTTTAAAAAAGACGTAGACGGACAGGGCATTTCCGATTGTTCCGAGGAAAATCAGGATGGGAGTGTAGTAGAATTCGAAGATTTCGATTTCGTGTAATTCGTTGGAAAGAGTCGGGTCATTGGGATGGTTACTGTCATTCATGGGGGGAACAGGTTCCAAATCTCTTTCAGAACTTGAATCAGAGAAATTGTAATAGATCATGGTCTAGAATTTCGAATGATGGTTTTGGTTAAGTCTTAAGGATCTGCCATGATAGCGTCAGTCGATTGTTTTACTTTTGGTTTCGAGACCTGCAAATAATAATCGTATGTAAACCATTTAAAAATAGCTTGCTGTTAAGGATTAGTGACGCCTTAAAATACTGTTCGTATAAAGGACTCTCTGTTTGTCTGTGTTGATTGTAGTTTTTAGAGATAAAGCAATCAAAATTCAAATATAACAAGAAGTTGGGATTTTAAGGAATTACAAATAAATACAGATTGACATAATTTTGATGCCATTTACGTGTGATATAAGCAAATAAAATCAGATAATTATCTATAGCAATATTGGTACACTTAAAAAAGAAATTGTTTTCTTCGTACTTAAGAATAGAATTAATAACAGAGAATTTCTAATCAGAGTAATTACACTGAAATAAATTCGTTTTCTCATAAATGCAATTTAATAATTCGTTTCTTAGGTTTAAATTAAATTATGCAAACTTGTCACGTTTAAATAATACGCCGTGAGATCTATTTACATATTGTACCTAAAGGAAATTTAATAATATGTTATTATGGACCTGCCTTGTTCAAAATTACTTTGGTCGGCCTCTATTGTTATTGTTTCTCTTTACGTGTATTCTCATATGTAAATAATTTAGTTGAAAAGGACCATTGTTCAAGAATTTACATCTTCAGAAAAAGTCGATTCAGTTGACTGATTCGTATTATGTGAATTAATTTTTATGAGTAATGAGTGCTTTATATTAATTACTGTGGTTGCTTTTCTTTATAATGAATTTATGATTGCAAGATTGCAGCCTATTTGACACATTTCTGATTTAATCACTTACGTTACACAAAATGGCAAATACTTTGGAAATTTAAATGAATTATTATTTTTTCCTATCAGTCACATCTATTTGCACATTCATTGAATATTCATGTCCGGAAAAAAAGATAATAAAAAAATGGCGTTATTAATATATCAAGACAGATTCTCGCCACATAATTTTTTTATGTAGGTTTTAATTTTATGTTGTGTAGACTGTAATTTCAAAATTCTTTTTTTACCGATTGCATCAGTTTAATATCTAATAAAAAAAAAGGAACTTTATAAAATATTTCATTGGCAAAAAGTTCTATTTCGAAGTAGTACCTACCAGTTTAATGGAAAGTTTTGAAAAATGGTGTCGGTTTAACAGAAAAAGTTATTTATTAAAATTGCAATGCATTATGCGGTGTACACATAAAACTTACATTATATTTTTGCGAAAAGTTTGCAATAATTTTTGCTTCCTCTCACTCAAACCACCAACTTTCTCTTGTTCAATTATGATTTTGATTGTAGTTTGTTTTTTTTTTACATAATTACATTAATAGCGTTTGTTTTCCAACCGGAAAAGTTAGTTACGTCATAGCCGTGTCTCTTTCTTTTTTTTTTCTTTCGTTAATGATGTGCTTAATAATTACACGGCAGTTACCGTGATATGTATCGTTTGCCCGAACGAACTGGCGGCTACCAAAACACTGACTAAAGGCGTCTTTTCCGCCTAAGGCCCAACGGTGATGCAGAGACGATAGCAGGGCGTCGGGACGCTCCACGGCGATAAGCATTCCGGCTGCCACCTGTAGCGCGATGCGATGCGTGGTTTTCTCGCAATATTCTCGTATTTTTATTTAAACAAGTCTTTTCTATACATATTATATGTATAACCAATTTATTTTTCATAGTAATGCACTATATACAATTATATATATACTTCAACAATCGCTTATTTATTTAGCTATTTATTCGACTGTCTTCCGTGTACGATACGCGACCGCAGCGCTACAAAAAGCTGCCACCGTATCGACGGCTTCCTGCGGCGTTATCTACTTACTGTATTATTTACGGTGAAATTCTCTTATAATGACAGTCCGTTTTTCGTTTAAAGAAATACATGTTTCAGTCTTTTTAGGATGATTCTAGATTATATGACAAATCCCAATCGCTTAAAAAGTACCATACTATTCGGTAAGGCAACAGTATGTTACCCTTTGGATTTTCTCGGACCCTTGACCTACGGAACACCTACTGCTATTGATTATCGTTCTAGCTTAAAAAAAATTCCTTAAAGTCGTAGGTAGCGTTTATTTATGAAGAAATAGACGTTCATATTTTGTAGGCTTTTTCACAAGCCAATACTTTATAAACTATCCCACTCGTTTTCGTACGCTTGATGCATAAATTTACATTCACTTTGATCTGAATAGGTAGGTACTTTTTGTGGTAAACCATTTTGGAATAGAGGAGAGCGTGGCTTTGATATTTAGTTTATACGTAGACTATCACTTTTTACAAACTTAATTAGTTTTCATCTCATTTTTATGATACTATTGGTGACCGACATTGAAAAACTTATATGTATATAGTTATTATATGGAAACTTTCAAAAGGTTCTTGTGAGATAATATAGTTTCCAAACATGGCCTCGCACAATTTTCAAAATGTTGACCAATTTATAATGGTTAACTGATCGTGAAAAAATGCCAAAACAAAATTTCTTGCTTACAACATTAGAGACATCATTTGCTCGTCAACGTGGAACTAGCAAATAAAATTTAAGAAATTCAATTTAAATCCATTTGCCTTAAGGTAATCGCACTGAAATTGTTTCTGAAAGCCCGCTGTCCGTTTGACCTTTCTCGGAGACCTCTCAGCATGCAAGTAACTTAAAGAGGTATTTGAAAATCTCCATTTTGCCTATCACAATCTAATAAATTGATATTTTATCCCCCATATACGTAAACTGTCCAAACGTCTGATTTAACGGATATCCTTAGGATTATAAGGTTACGAAATTATTAAGATATGTTATACGAGACGAAATTTGCAGAATCCTTAGCTCATTATGGGAAAACCGGGTAAAAGAATAAATAATTCAAAATTTTTATTTTGCAACGTTTCGTTGACTTGGTCTGTCAACCCCTTTTCAGGCAACTTGTTTCCTTCCTAGAAAATACTACAATTCCATTTTTTTCCTATAAAATACTAGAAAACAAGAAAATTAAGTAAATGGTTGGTGTATTTGAAAGTACAGGCAAGGAGCAGTCCGGCCCTGGCAAGATCACGTAGGGTAATGCGACACTGCAACGGCGCATTCAATGAGCTGCTGCCTACCACCATTCACGATGTATTTCTGTTATTTTTTGTACTCATGTACTGTTTGTTATTTATTAGATTATAATAAGTGTGATTGGCGATGTTTAGGTTTACAGCCAGCCGAGAGTAGTTGACAGTCGAAGTAGGTCAATGTGTCAGTCTCATAGGTCAGTGCAAAATAGTGCATACTATCAGCGTTGGATAAAGAAGTTGTTTATTGTTGTTGTCGAAATGGGCGTCGAAAGATTATTATATGTAGTAGCGTAGTAGTCATCCAATTTCTCTGTACGTTGCCAATTCACGTCCAGGGCCGGCTTCGGATTGCAACTTTATCAAGATTTCCTACAAATGTTTTTGTCCCTTACGCTGCTTTACTCTGCATCTAGTTAATTCCCTCCAAAGTTTGCGAATTATTTCATAAACACTCCGTATATCGCAGTAAAATAAAGTGGGCGAATTGGCACTAAAAATAGATAGAAATTTGAATATCGGAGAAACGGGAAATCACCTATTTCATCGCACATTTCGACAACTGAAATTGACCTCACTAACGACGACACTTTCTACGATCCCAATCGTATTATATATACGTTGCTGAGGGAATGAAATGTAAAGCGAGGAGGAAGAAGAATCGAGAGACAGATAATAGGCGGGAGAGAGCAAAAATTAAATTCATTAAACTTTGTCACCATTTCGGAATCGAGTGCTCGTTTTGCGCCGATATTTTGTACACAGCCAGTTATGTAGAAGGTAAAAGTACTTACCGAACTCTCTAGTAAATTAATTTATCAAAATTGAAGATGGTTCGATGTCGCCCACAGCAATACGTAACTAAAGCAATTTAAAGTTTGTGAAGTTGTCACTCCGGCAGTTACAACTTGTGTTACAGTAATAAAGGTTAACTGGTTGAGAACTTTTGCTCTAAATATTTTTACAAAATCTTTTGCAAAACTTGGTCGCTGCGGTGACCCAAGGAATAAGACGAATGGTTTAGAGGTGGTCGCTTTTTTTTGCTAATTTTCGTCATCAGCGCCTTGCACGAGGCATAATTAGTTTACTAATTAAATGTTCAAATTTTTGATCCTTTGACTCAGGGCGTCATAAACCAAAAATTGGATGAATACTGCCGAATTTTTCCACTTAAAATTATTAAATTAAACTAGAAGTTGGCATTAAATAATTAAATTTAACTTTCGATGAAAATGTTCTTAGTTAACTTGTGAATTCTAGCGGAGTGTAATTCAGGTCGGCATCAGAGCAAGAGTTATTCTACAATAAGACTTGACACCACCAGACAAAGTTGTGTTTGAGTAAAAGTAGGGAGGATTTTGTACTCCAAATATTTACATTATATGAGCAAGAAATGTGAAATTTAGTTTTTTATGTTATTAAAATAATCCGGGATAAGAATTAGCGGACAATTAGTTCTGATTTATTCACTATTGATAAATTTTTAATTACAAAATTGTTTTAATAAAACTGTTGTAATTATTATCAGTTAATTGATTGAAACCTGCTCTTTGGTAAAAGTATTCTATAAAGAATTTAAGCATGTAGATGATCATCATCATCATAAGGTCATCAGTCCTAAGACTGGTTGGACACGTACCTCCACTCTTTCCTATCCTGAGCTAAACTTCGCATTTCCCTAAAACTAGAACAGCCCACATCCTTAACTATTTGCGAACAGTAATCTAATCTAGGTCTACCTCTACCCCTCCTAACTCCTGTTTCTGCCTCTAATATGTCTCTGACTAGACCTTCATGCCTGAGAAGGTGTCCTACCAACCTATCTCGCCTATTTTTTATTGACTTCCATAGAGTCCTCTGTTCTCCTATTCTTTCCAATACCTCTTCATTTCTAACCTTTTCTACCCACGATATCCTCATCATCCGCCTATAACACCACATTTCGAACGCTTCTAACCTTTTCTTTTCCGCCGCTCCCACTGTCCATGTTTCGCACCCGTACAACGCCGTGCTCCAAACATACACCTTTAACAACCTTTTTCGAATTTCTAAATTAACCGTTCGCGAGCATAGAAGTGACTTCTTTTTATTAAAGGCGACACGACCCTGCGCTATCCTCTGCTTTATATCCCTACTACTCCTTCCATCCTCACTTATCTGACTTCCTAGGTATCTAAAATCAGCCACTTCTTCTAATTTTTCGTCTCCTATCTTTATATTCGCTCTTTCCCTACTTTTTCTTCCCTTGCATACCAGTATTTTAGTTTTACTTTTATTTATTTTCATACAGTACTGATCTGTCAGTACCGCTTCCATTTTATTTAAAGCTATCTCTAGGTCCTCCTTGCTAGATGCTAATACTGCTATATCATCTGCAAATCTAAGCATACTAATCTTTTGCCCTTGCACATCTATCCCTACAGTTGTACTGTCTTTAATGATGTTGATGGCGTCTTCGATGTATAGATTAAAAAGTAGCGGTGACAGTGTGCATCCCTGCCTGACTCCCTTCCTAATATTTACTTCTCTACGTTGCATCCCCAGCTCTATAACTGCCTGTTGCTCTTTATACAAACTAAGTATCACTCTTCTATCTTTGTAATTCATCCCTACATTTTTAAGTATATTTAACATCTTGTCCCATTTAACATTGTCAAAAGCTTTCTCTAAATCTACAAATCCTATGTACGCACTCTTTCCTTTTTCTATCGTTTTCTCTATTGCTATCCGTAAAGCTAGAATGGCCTCCCGCGTTCCTCTATTTCTTCTAAACCCAAATTGATCTTCCCCTAATGTAGATGATATTCAAGCAATAATAATTTTCGTCACTTTTAGTTAAATTGAAACAAATATTACTTAATTATATTACAATTCACTGACACAATATAAGGTTTACTAACTTTATTGGTAAAGTTTGTATTCGATAGGTACAAAACTTTGTCAAAGTTTCTGTTGTGTACAACTGTATGCAACATTAATATCAAGTTTGTATATATATATTACGTTTTAATAGAAATCAGAAAATTGAAATTTCATTTAAATAGCAACTTTTATAATGTGCCAGATTTCATAGTAAACATACACAAATATGAACAGTTGGTCCTCTTAAAGCATATTAGGTATACATATGTACCTAGTAAAAGCAAAATATGTTTATCAATATGCAAAATGTACTATCCATTTAACTTATCGTTTTTTTATATTTGTTTAATTAAGGAATCTCAATTGTTACACTTTTTTATTAGTTTTACTATATCATATTAATTTATGAAATTAATTTAACGATAAAGAGGAATATTTTATACTTACTCAATTTTCGAAATATTAATTGATTCTTCTTTTTATCACAATTCATTTTAAGATTTTTTAGATTACATCCATACTTTTAATCTGAATTGATCTTCTTATGTTATATGTGTATACAAAAAACTATTTTAAGAAAAATCAACATAATAATTGCTAAAATTAAAATAAAGCAAATGACTATTTGAATGTAATATTCCGTATGACAGCGAAAACTGCTTCAAAATCCATCCATTTTTTTTTGAGTTTTATGACCCGTGCTTGTGTTGTAATTTAAAAATATATTGTGCTAATTTCTTTGTCTATAGAGTTCCTAGATGGTATTATTTTTAGTAAATTGAGTACATAAACGTTTTCTTAAAAACATCCTCGTTAATTACTTACCTATCTGGTAAAGAAGGTATTAAACAGAATTAAACAAAGGAGTGACGAAAACGGAGCTTTTTCCTTCATTAACCTAAATTAATGGATACGTAAGCGATTCAAAAGCAACTTTTTTTACGTAATTGAGTTTAGAATTCGAAAAAAAGTTTTGATTAATTGTACAGGTAATATATTATCTTCAAGTATCTAGAACTTACGTACCCGAGTTTTCTAATTAATCAACTATGAATATGCATTAATTTTTTGTTGTGATATTAAATCCAAGAAGTATTTAAATACTCATTGCATTTCCTTACACAGATAGATGTGGTTAGAAGGTCTATATATCTAAAAATATAGTTACTTAATAAATAAACTCAAATTAATTTCCACAAATATATTAATAAAAACTTTACAATTGTTTCGCCCCCTCAGAGCTTCTTCAGAGGTATTAGTTGTAGTACTTTAAGTAATACTTCTGAAGTAGCCTCAAGGAGGCGAAACAATTATAACGTTTTTATTAATATATTTGTGGAAATTAATTTGTGTTTATTTATTAA